TACGGGCCCCGTACTTCAATATCTGACCATCTCCCTCACCTTCCACCCAATGAAGACATGGAAGTCAAATTCAAAATGTCCAAGATTGGTAAATAACCTAAGGGCAAAAGTGGCTTTTATGTTCACTTATCTCTGTGGGATACCATTTTTCTTTCAATTCTGGCCTCATTACTTCTGACTTTTTAAAGTATTTTAAAGAATGTTATTATTGAGAATTTTAAATTTTAAGTGAGAGACGGTTGGTCTGACTAACTTAACGGTCTCTATTATTTGAAATAAAGAATACTTAGGTTATCTCTTTTCTAAAATTGATTCTTCATGGTGACCTCTCTAAGTATCGAAACTAGCATTTATTGCCATTATTTCAGACTAATGAAATACTTCTTCAAACGGTATTTTCTTGTTTAAAATAAATAATTCAGTGTCCCTTAATATGAGAAAGTTTCAAACTCCATTATTTCTCAGGACTAATCTTAAAATCCTCACCTTATAATAGGATTTATTTGGTTTCTATTGAAATTTGACAGAAGAAAAGTGGTTCTAATATCAAAAATAAGAAAAATCTATCTATAATATATAAAATAGAGTCTTCACTGAAGTTTGTTATCTGAAGCTAGTGGCTAGCAGACAGGATTTGATATCACTGGAAGCTGTTCCTCTGGAACTATATCAAAGAAAATCACTACTGGCATTTTGATTTTAAACAAGAGAGAGCTGGAGGCCATTATTACCAAAATAAGGTATAAATGGCTAATCTAGGTAAAAAGGTACACATGGGAAGATCAATGTCTTATCAATATCATTTTACAACTCTATCAAGACAAATAGCAATATGTGGATAACAGTAAACCAATCACATAGGTGGATAACTCTTAGAACGTATGATGAGATGATGATTCGTGAGCCTGGAATTTAGCAATTAGAGGACATAGTAAAGGCCTCCTAAAGGAGAATAAGAGTCAAGGAAAGGAATCAAAGGCTCTCTCTTGATGTAACTATTACTTTTTTTTTTTTGGATGACCAGGCCATCCTGTACTTTGCCCACCTCCTGCTGATACCTTTGGATGATAAATGGATCCACTTAGACCCTCTTTTTTTTGCTTTCAAGTCAACCAGACATGGACATGGGGACATGTTGACCTCCGGGAATGAGGAAAGTGACATGAAAAGTCCCCATGTTTGGCAGAGAAGCAAAGGAGCACTGCCCTCGAGTGGCCTTAAACAATTGGCTGTGCTCTCAGTCACTGTGGGAAGGGTCTGGGAGTGTCTGAGCACACTGGGAACTGACTCCTACCCTCCACACAGACAGCCCCAAAGGCCTCGCTCTGTCAGCCCCTCTTCCTGCCCCACAAGCAAACTACGGCTCTTCCCAGGGCAGGGGAAACCAGAGCCTTACCTGTGCTATCCTCCCCAAGGCCCTCGGCAGCCTCCCGAAGCTTAATGTCCATCACCCTCGTGGAAATCATATCCAGCTCTCTGAAATCAGATGGAAATTCATGTTAAAGGAACACGTTTAGCAGAAGTTACCAGTGAGTGAAAGGGCAATGGTGATTGCTTCTGCCATGACCTCACCTGCACACACCCCAGCAGGACAGAGTCCAGGGCAGAGTGCAGGACAACACAGGCCAAAAACATGCCCACAGCCACGAGATTAGTAACCACATGAGCATTTACTCACCAACCGGGGCAACTGAATGGAAAACAGATCAAAGGAAGAAATGCTTCACCAATTTACACAATGCAGGTTAGGTTCCTTTCTTTCAAAAACGTTTTTCTCAAAGTATAAAAAATTATGTTCTCATTTACTATAGAAAGTTTGCAAACTATAGAGAATACAAATCACCCATAATCTCACCAGCTGAGGATAACCACAGTTAATCTTTAATCTTCCAATAGTCTTTCCATGCAAATATGTTGTGTATGTGCACATGTACCACGTTAGGAAGCTGGACGTCCTGATTTTCTTACTTATTCCATATCATTAAAATTCTTCATAAGTATTATCTTTTTTTATTTCCTTTTTGTCTTTTTTACTGACCCATAACGGGATCGCAACCCTCGGTGTCGCGCCCGTACTGGGGACCGGCAACGGGATCGCAACCCTCGGTGTTGCGCCCGCACCGCGCTCAGCCAGTGAGCGGGAACCGGTCTCCACATGGGATCTGAACCCTCGGCGGGAGCGCTGCCACGCTCCCAAGCGGCGCACTCTCCAGTGCGCCACCGGGCTGGCCCCATAAGTATTATCTTAATGGATGCATAACATTTCGATGGAAAGCTGCATTATCATTTATTTACACTGAGTTTCTTTTTTGAACTTAGGAAAAATGTCAGAGACAAAAGTGGATTTAACATACGGCTACTATAGTTACATCTTATCAGCCACTCCCATCTCCACCCCCACTAGCTTATTTCTAAGCCAATCACCCCAGACACTATCATTATTATGTCATCCATATGGATTTGGCTTCTTCCTAAATAAAAAAATCTCTGACTTTTCATGGAAATCATAACTGATTACCGGTCAATATATCTGCTACAGAACATCAAGCTAACTGCACCCCTACCTTCCATAGCTGACTTTTAAACAGCGTCCTCTACCTACTTACACTAACACACCACTTGTTTAGAAAGCTATTTCTTTTTTTTTTTGTCCTTTTTGAGACCGGCCGCACCGTGCTCAGCCAGTGAGTGCTGTGAGCGCACCGGTCATCCCTATATAGGATCCGAACCCGCGGCGGGAGCGCTGCTGCGCTCCCAGCGCCGCACCCTCCCGAGTGCACCATGGGCTCGGCCCTAGAAAGCTATTTCTTACTGGTAGTCACTACAAGTCCTCATTCTCAAAAAGGGGGACTCAAATATTTAACTAACCAATTCACACTTACAACCTGTACACAGCACATAATGGGAAATAATGGGAGAAATACAAAGAAAATCCTTAACAGAGGAAAGGAGCCATGGGTCTCTGCAAAGTTGACTCTAATATTTAATGTCTGTCCTCCCTACTAGCCAATTGCTTAAAAGCCAACGAAAGCTTCACCAGCTTCAGTTCTCAATTTTCATGTGTTTTGGCTTCATTAAAATATACGGTCTTGTGTTAGCTCTGCCAAAAACCCTTTGTTGGGACCTCACCAAATTGGATTCATGATCATGCTATATGATATATAAAATGAAGTTTGGACAGCAATAGTACTTTTCAAACCCTTGACTGCTGTTTTAGACTTCAAAGAATATCCTTGCTTTCATTATCTGTGTTCGCTGTCAAAGTAACAGGCAATGCTGTCACACAGCAGAATGATTTTTTTTTTTCCTTTTTGTCTTTTTTCGTGACCGGCAATGGATCGTAACCCTCAGTGTTGCGCCCGTACCGGACCGGGACCGGCCACGGGATCGCAACCCTTGGTGTTGCTCCCGCCCCTCGCTCAGCCAGTGAGCGGCCGGTCTGTATGTGGGATCCAAACCCTCGGCGGGAGCGCCACCGCACTTCCCAAGCGGCGCACTATAGCAGTGCGCCACCGGGCCGGCCCTAGCAGAATGATTTTAATGGTTCGAGGCTGGTGCCCAATCCAAAGGCCCAGGCATTCCAAAAGATCACCCCCTCAACTCCCACCATGTTAAAGTTAGTCGGCAACCTCCTGATCCCTAAGTGTCATGTAGCTCCTTGATACCATTAGAGGAGGGGACAGCTACCAGGGCATCAAAGGAAGAGGCAATGGACAAGAAAAATATGAGGAGCAAGGGAGACAGTGAAAATGGGAGGGTCGGTTAAGAGTCACCAGCTATTACCCTGGATACCGTCTCCTATGGTTGCCCCTGAGTGACAAAGCAGAAGTGCAAGAGCTGTCCACCGCTGGAATTCAGAGCTGACCACAGCAACTGCAAACTTATCAAGCATGTGCAGCAGATCATCTGAATTAACTCTTTAATCCCCAGAACTTTCAGTATTCCCATTATGGAGATGAGAAAATACATTATATTAGGTGGTCTGTTCACTTGCCCAAGGTAGCAAAAGCAGACACTGACCTCTTTACTCATGTTGACTATATACCCAGTGTGGCCAGGTACTGGGGTGCAGCGATGGATGAGACCTCCGTGGCCCCCACCTCTTGCAGGTGCTGACTCAGGGAAAGAGACAGTCCTGAACCTTCCTGGAGGGACACAAGGGAAGCTGGGGAATCCAAAGGACTAAATCTCTCACTGAAATGGCTCTACCTGCCAAGCAGCCCTGCCCAGGGTCAGGCCAGGACTCAGGCAAAGTAACCCCAAGGGGCCATGCTTTGGGTCTGACAGGGTGCCTTAGTCTGAGGGAAGGGCTTTGAGGCTGCTGTGATGTATTAGAACTGGAAAAGGATAATATTCAGGAGAAACCACAGTGTTACCTGCAAAATGTCCAGTCGCCTTTGGCAAATAAGAGGGTCCTTGTTGGGAAGTGCTGGGAGTGTGCATGAGCCCCCATGGATGGGTGTGCAGAAGGGCACCCACCCCCTGAGCCTGGAGCAGTGCACAGGCTCTGACTGCTTCTCCTTGGGTTGAACGATGTGGCTGTGACAAAGCCGCACAAAGCAGAGGGTTCAGGAGCAGTGGAGGGCAGGAGGACTGAGAGGGGCCTGGTCTCCCCGCTGAGGGTCCTTCCACCACTCCCATCAGGCAGATGCACAGAGCACCACCAGCCTGCTGCCGATGAAGGCACTGCACATGGGGCTCACCGCATGTGGGGGGTTGTAGGAACTGCTCATGTTTAAAGTCCCAAATGTTGGGTCGGCCCGGTGGCGCACTGGATAGTGCGCCGCTTGGGAAGCGCGGCGGCGCTCCCGCCCGAGGGTTCGGATCCCACATAAGGACCGGTTCCCGCCCACTGGCTGAGCGGGGCGCGGGAGCAGCGCCGAGGGTTGCGATCCCGTTGCCGGTCCCCGGTCCGGTACGGGGGCAACACTGAGGGTTGCAATCCGTTGCCAGACACGGAAAAAGACAAAAGACAAAAAAAAATAAAAATAAAAATAAAAATAAAGTCCCAAATGTCTTCATACTAAGAAGAGTGGAACATACTGCAGAGGAAAAAAGCAAAGACTCGGACATCAGGCAGTGCTGGGGTGGAATCTTCACCCCACAACCTACCAGCACTGGGCCTTGGTCCCCTCACACATAAAAGAGGGACAGTAATACTTTCATTACAGGAGACCAGAACACAGCGCACAGCAAGCAGTGGCTGAGAAGTGCTGTCAGGGACTGTGGCTCATTCTTCACCAAATGCTCCTGTCTGCACCCAGATGCATCTGAAGTGCCCACGATGGACACACCCTGGCAGGCATCACTGGGATCTCAGGAAAACACAGACTCCCTGTGCAGATGGCTCACTTTAGAGTCACCACTATCAGTCACATGATAAGACACCTAGATTCCCTGCCCCCTGCTGACCCCTGAGATTTCTAATCCCAATAGCCTGATAGACTCAAACTGCAGCTGGGTAACTGTTAAACGCACATTCAGGGTGACAGAGGACCATCTGCCCTGTGAAACTGCAGAGGGCACAGATAGAGAAGTGTCCCCTTTGTGTGGACATTCCAGGTGGAAACATCCCACAGCTGTGACAATGGAACATCGTGTCTGTTGGGCCAAATAACTTGCCCTTCTGAACACATATTCCCCACCCCCAGCAGAATTCAAGGAAAAGCCAGAAGGAAAGCTAATTAGAAAGGCAATGTGGCAAATACCCAGTATCTCTCAGTACTCTTGGCTTCCCATGTGAAGACGGTGCTTCTCCTGCTGTTCTGACCACTCTAGATCCAAGTCAAGGAAAACTTACTCGTTAGACTAAATCTGGACCTAAAAGGCCTCTTCAGGGGTTCTCATTAACTTGCGAGGGTGCTGAGCCCCTTCCACCCTCTCTGTGACCACAGGCTCCCTCCCGGCTTACAACAGAATTCCAGCATTAACTGCAGCTTTTATTGAAAAATTCTACAAAAGTTTGTTCATGTGAAGAATGAGGATAGATTTTAACATGGTATTTTAAAGGTTCCAGCCCATTAGATTTACTTACACAATGCAAAGAAAAACATCTGTCCCCTGGCTACATGCAACCAAGCACATCATTACAGAGGAAAGCTTCAGTGTTCACCCCTACAGATCAGCCACTTCCACACCACCCTCCAGGCTATGTTCGGACCCCTATGGAGTCTTTCTTAGTCCCGTGTTCCTTTCTTTCACAACATTTACCGAGGCTGTCATCAATAACTTGTTCAGGAGGTGCCTCCCTCCTCCTTCCCAAGACTGTGGGCTTCATGGGGCGAGCTCTCCACCGGTTACACTCAATGTTCTCTCGGCACTGCCTACAACAGCACCCCGAGCAAAGACCTGAACCCAGCACACAAGATATTTGACGAACTAGAGGGGGTCCTGGGTATCAGTATTCTTTGCAGTTTTGAATAACAATTTATCTAACCTCAGAGAGCTGTAGAAAGAGCCAGGAAGAGTCACTTTTAGTTCACCTTTCCCTTATCCAGCTGCCTGCTCCAAAAAAAAAAAAAAATGTTTTTGTTCTACCTCATACCATACATAAAAATTACCTCA